AAAAAGACAAGTGTAACGGTTTTTTGACCACTTTTATATAGTGCAATAAAGTTGTGAAAAGGCTAGATATAGTTATTATCAATGGAAGTTCAAAGGACAAACAAATAAAGCTGAAAACGTGAAAAGGCTACTGTTTGACTCAAAAGATATTGGAATCTTTCTGAACAAATCAATTAAAAAATATGAAGAGGTAAATCTTAGTTAAACATAATAAATTCCAGATCAATGAGCTAATTGAGCAAATAGTACATAAGATGAGATAGAGGTAGCCAATCTTATTGAAACTTTCGTTGTGACTTCCATTAATCAATGGGGAGGTTCTTTTACATGTTTTCTTGGAGATTGTTTCAAGCTCCTTTTTTTAAGAATATTGCAGAAGAGAGAGATAATGAGAGAGGGAGAGCCCCCCCATAACTGAAGGTTTTCCTTTCCTATATATAGTCATGGGACTTTTGCTATTTACTTGGTCTGACTCTCTCTCTCTCTCGCACTATCTTCCTTGGTCTTCCCCTGGACGTTGTTTCTTCTGACTCGACGGATGTCGTGAGTGCGGGATGTAGAATGTAAATGTCGTCTTTCGATACCCTATCGCTTGGACGGGATGTTGGTCAGCTAGACCGCAGTGGTCAAATTTTGACCAATACAGTTAGTCCCTCTGTCTGTCGGGGTCGTCCCCTGTCGGGCCGGGCAGACGGATCACGAGTGCTACGAATTCGAGAAAAATCTGACTTCTCGTTTCTTAGTTACGCTTCTTAGGTTTCAAGTCAGATGACGACGTTCTTTCGATATCCTTGGACCATTGCGGCTGTTTCAGAATCGAAACGTCGTTTGGTAGTAAAGTGTTATTTCGTGGTTGCCACCATTATGACACACGTTCCTGGGGAACTGAAATGTTTCGTGCCCTATCAGATTCGATTGGTGACTCTTGAATTTCGTGCTTGGGGGGATTTATGTCTCTTATAAATAGAAGGAACACATCATTCGATTGACACACTTCTCTGCCTTGTGCTTCAAAGAAAATTGTGGATATACTTTCTTCCTGATACTTCGAATTTTCATTCGCCTCCATTTTGACTAAAAACTTTCATCCTTCATTTCCATTGTCTATTTGCCACACCATCTTGAGAAAATGGCCGGTGATTCTTCTCGCACTAATCTCCCTGTCACAATTCCGGCGCCGAAAAATGTTACGGGCAAAGGCGCGGGAGGCCCGCGTCAACTGTGGTTATGACTCTATGACCCCGGAGGCCGATGAGGGCGCGGATGATGATGGAGGGCTTCCTGGAGATGATGGCGATGATGGTGGCGGTGATGACACCGAGTGAAAGAATGCTGCCTTTGTCTATTTTCTGCTAGTTGTTTTTTTTATACATTCGTTGTCGTTTGTCGTTGTTCCTTTTTCCCTTTTTTTCTATTGTTGGCTTGGGCCGTGTGTAATCTGCGACTGTTTGCGCAGTGACTTTGTATAAGGAATTTTTTTTGTTGTTATTTGCCTTGTATTCTGTTTTTGTTTTTGCCTTTCATGACTTTGATGCGAGGTAGATTCCCGTATGGCGAGTCCCGATTTTTCTTTCCCTTTATATTTTCTGTTAGCCCTTGACCTTAGGGATATTTCGGATTTCGATGGCTCGTGGCCTTAAGGGTGTAATTTCGAACTTTCATCGCAATGGCAACCCATCGTTGTTCAATCAAGGTCGAACCCTTCTTTTTGGCGAAGGCCCTTGGCCTTAAATGGGTGTTATTTCGAACTCTTATCGAAATAGTAACCCGTCGTCGTTCGATCGAGATCGAATCCTTCTTTTTGGAGAAGGCCCTTGGCCTTAAAGGGAGTTATTTCGAAAATTTCAAAATAGTAACCCGTCGTCGTTCGATCGAGGCCGAACTCTTCTTTTTGGCGAAGGCCCTTGGCTTCAAGGGTGTTATTTCGAACTTATCGAAATGTTAACCCGTCGTCGTTCGGTCGAGGTCGAACTCTTCTTTTTGGCGAAGGCCCTTGGCCTTTAAAGGGTGTTATTTCGAAAATTTCAAAATAGTAACCCGTCGTCGTTCGATCGAGGCCGAACTCTTCCTTTTGGCGAAGGCCCTTGGCCCTAAAGGGTGTTATTTCAAACTTATCGAAATAGTAACCCGTCGTCGCTCGGTCGAGGTCGAACTCTTCTTTTTGGCGAAGGCCCTGGCCTTAAAGGGTGTTATTTCGAACTTATCGATATAGTAACCCGTCGTCGTTCGATCGAGGTCGAACTCTTCTTTTTGGCGAAGGCCCTTGGCCTTAAAGGATGTTATTTCGAACTTATCAAAATAGTAACCCATCGTCGTTCGATCGAGATCGAACTTTTCTTTTTGGCGAAGGCCCTGGCCTTAAAGGGTGTTATTTCAAACTTATCGAAATAGTAACCTGTCGTCGTTCGATCGAGGTCGAACTCTTCTTTTTGGCGAAGGCCCTTGGCCTTAAAGGGTGTTATTTCGAACTTACCAAAATTGTAATCCGTCGTCGTTCGATCGAGGTCGAACTCTTCTTTTTGGCGAAGGCCCTTCGCCTTAAAGGGTGTTATTTAGAACTTTTCGAAATAGTAACCCGTCGTCGTTCGATCGAGGTCGAACTCTTCTTTTTCTTGAAGGCCCTTGGCCTTAAAGGGTGTTATTTTGAACTTATCGAAATAGTAACCCGTCGTCGTTCGATCGAGGTCGAACTCTTCTTTTTGGCGAGGGCCCTTGGCCTTAAAGGGTGTTATTTAGAACTTTTCGAAATAGTAACCCGTCGTCGTTCGATCGAGGTCGAACTCTTCTTTTTGGCGAAGGCCCTTGGACTTAAAGGGTGTTATTTCGAACTTATCGAAATAGTAATCCGCCGTCGTTCGATCGAGGTCGAACTCTTCTTTTTGGCGAAGGCCCTTTGCCTTAAAGGGTGTTATTTTGAACTTATCGAAATGGTAACCCGTCGTCGTTCGGTCGAGGTCGAACTCTTCTTTTTGGCGAAGGCCCTTGGCCTTAAAGGGTATTCTTTCGAACTTATCGAAATAGTAATCCGTCGTCAGTCCCAGTTTTTGGAGAATCGGGCATCTTCTGGGGACTCCCAGTTCGCTTGATATTGTTTGCATCGGAGAGTGTAATGTCGGAGAACACGAAACGTTGTTGTTTCACTTATGTTTGTTTTGCGCACACACCAGAATTTCTCTGTCTGATTCCTGCCTTCCAGCCTGGAGGTGTTGTCGGCTGGCGACGTTTCGGTTGTCTTGTAGTAGTTTCCTATTCTCTGATTGAGATGTTTCTTTGCCCGCTCGCCCGCGCGGCACTTGTGTTCCTGCTTGAGCATAGAGAAGAAGGTGAGTTAAAATGGCACTTCCCTTACCCCCATCCGATGAATCGGTGAACGAGAGTAGGTTTGTAACGTTGCTCATTTTGTCTGGCATTTTGGCGGTTGATGGGGCGATGATTCCTAAATTCGGTGGTTGTTTTCAGCTCTCTTTCCCCTCCTGTGATGCGCCTTTGCCCTGCGTGGGTTGGGCTTTCTCTTAGCGCTCTTTTCGGTAGGTAATCGTGTTTCTTGTCTTTGATCTGGAAGAGACTAGGAAATTTCACTAAGAAATCTCCACAGACGGCGCCAAATTGTTTCACTCAAAAGATATTGGAATCTTTCTGAACAAATCAATTAAAAAAGGTGAAGAGGTAAATCTTAGTTAAACATAATAAATTCCAGATCAATGAGCTAATTGAGCAAATAGTACATAAGATGGGATAGAGGTAGCCAATCTTATTGAAACTTTCGTTGTAACTTCCATTAATCAATGCGGAAGTTCTTTTACATGTTTTCTTGCAGATTGTTTCAAGCTCCTTTTTCTTAAGAAGATTGCAGAAGAGAGAGATAAGGAGAGAGGGAGAAGCCCCCATAACCGAAGGTTTTCCTTTCCTATATATAGTCATGGGACGTTTGCTATTTACTTGGTCTGACTCTCTCTCTCGCACTATCTTCATTGGACGTCCAGGGGACGTTGTTTCTTCTGACTCGATGGATGTTGTGAGTGCAGGATGTAGAATGGACCATGTCGTCTTTCGATACCCTGTCGCTTGGACGGGATGTTGGTCAGCTTGACCGCAGTGGTCAGATATTGACCAATACAGCTACAATGTAAATACTACGAATAATTAAGAAAATTTGCACAATTGCAGCAGCCTGTAGTAACTGCTGGAAGATGAAACAATTCTGTGCAATTATCCAATTCAATGCAGGGGAAATTAACATCTAATTGAAGGCTTTTTTTTTCATGAAGGGCAAATCGAAATTTAAATTCCGACGATGGCTAATTGAGTTTTTGTTTAACTTTTTCTCTTTTGGGCGTCCTACTTATGATATAGTATGAATGAATGATAATGATATGATATTGTCATTAATGATAATAAATACTCCATCAGTTTCAAAAAGAATAAAATTTGGTGAGTCAAACTAGATTTTCTTTGGCTATAATTTTTGCAAATAGTTTTTTAAAATTTTGAATTGTAAACACTTTTGACTTATATTACTTTTTATGTAACTCTTAATTATTTAAAATTTATATAAAAAAAAAAAATTTATCTCCGAATTCACAGTGTAAATTAGTAGTAGTAGTTAATTTGAGCATCTTACTCCGAAAGGTTCTAACAAATTGAAACAATGGAAGTAAGCTCTTCTATTCTGGTTCAAGAAATAGTAAAGTATAATTTTTACTGTGTTCGCATTAATCAAGCAGGAAAGAAATATTACACAAAAATCAAAATAGGGAAGCGAAATATTATATTATAAACCACAATGATTTACCATATGAAACTTAAAAGGAGAATTTTTAAATTATCCCAGTTTATTTTTTGCCAAAAAAAGAATAACGGTTACGCACAACCCGTCGTGATGGATGCCCTACCGTTTGGTGTTTTCTCAAACGCCTTGAGATGATATATATATATATATATATATATATATATATATATATAGGAGCTCTAGGGTTTTTATCAACCAAGCGCAAAGAACAGCAAAGTATGCATATGGGCAGTGGAATAGTCATGATTCCCTGGTCTGATCTTCCCAAAGAACTTGTCGAGAGGATTGGCAAATTCCTGGACACACATATTGACGTCCTTCGCTTTCGTGCAGTCTGCACTACATGGCGTTCCTCACTCCCTCCTTTCAAAAACTCTCCTCCTTTACCCTTAAAAATTCCCTTCCCCCTCCTCAACCTTAACCCTGATACAGCCAAGCCTGAATTTTATCATCTCATTGACAGCACCGTTTATCTTTTCCAACCCCCTGATGGCGCTGCTCCCACTGCTAATTCGTCTTGTAAAGGGTGGTTGATCAAGGTTATAAAAACAGCAGATGGAAAACTGCGGGTTTTGAATCCACTAACCGATAGACTTATCAAGGATTTGCCAGATAATATGCCTAAGGTATTGAATTTACTAGACTTTCGCGTTTCTCAAGTTTGCAAATCTTATCATGTCCAATCCCTCAATAACTCTAGACTTTCTTACGGTGATTATGATGTAGGGTATGTTAGAAAAATATTGCTTCTTACAAACCATGCAGAGAGTGAGACCAATAATTTTTCTATAATGGCGATTGATCGTGGGGATTCATTATATTATATAAATTTGGGGGACGAGAAGTGGACTAGGTTAAAAAATGCCAGTTGCTTTATTGTCGATATTATCGTGTATAAGGGGAACTTTTATGCTGTTGATCGATATGGAGAAACCATAAAGTTTGATAACTCATTTAATGAGACCAACGTAGCTTCCAGATTATCCTATGGTGGTCGGAAGAAACGACTGGTGGAATCATGTGGACAATTGTTTTTGGTTGATACTATTTTAGGTGTCGATAAAAATACCAATGCTGCCTGCCCTGATTGGAATATCGTTGAAATCAAAATGTACCGACTGGATGAAGAACAACACGAGTGGATTGAAGTGGTTACTTTGGGTGATAGAATTCTCTTTGCTTGTAATGATTGCTGCTTCTCTGTTTCTTCACATGATTTTGATGACTGCAGAGGAAACTGCATTTACTATGTGAACGGATGGGAATATTATGATGACGAGAGTGACGATGACTTAGGCTGTGGTTGTTGTTGCGGTTTTAATGATGACGATAATCGTCCAACTATAGGTGATGATATGACTTATAACAGCAGTGTTAGCGATGATGATCACAAGATTTATGACTTTGATAGCAAATCAGGTGATGATGCGATTAGAAGCAGTATTAGCTATGATAATCACAAGATTAATGACTCTAGTAGCAAATCAGGACTAGTACATGGATATGAAGGATTATTTGATCAGAACACGTGTGTCTTTAACGTAGAAGATGGTAAACTTGGTTCACTGTTATCCTTCCTTGAATATGCAGAAATTTTATGGCCACCACCATATTGGCTTACTCGTCAGGATCAGGCTCATTCAGATTCTCATGTGAGTTTTCAAATTTCATTCTTCAGAATCTATATATACTAGTTGTCTTTTTTCAAGTGTTTCGCCTAATTTCTGTAAGTTATCAATTGATGAAACTCTACTCAATTCCCAAGCGATGCCTATGGTCTGTTTGGTTTTTCAATTTCAAGTTTGGTTTTAATTCCTGGAGTTTTTGAATAGGGAACTACTAGTAGAATTAATCTGCATGTTGTTTTACAGGAAATTACTGAGCCGTGATTATGTATAAATAATGAGGCAGCAATGGAATCAAGTCACAAAAAGATGCAGGATTCCATCGGCTCTTCGTTCTGCTTTTGCTTTTGCTTTTGTTTCTTGCTTTACTACTAGTGTGGTTAATTACTGGAGTCCGGAAATTTAGGAACTTTGTTTCTACAACACAATGCCTTTTTTTTATTCACATGCCATTTAATTATTTTGCTATGTCCTATGTATAAATTTCGTTGGCTTTAAGCTGATTATTATTTGGGAAAATTTACTTGCATTGTTAAACTTTTCTGCTAAAGCAATGCGAGGATTGAATTGCATTGCATTTACTCGATGTTATGTAAAACAAATGGGGTATTGCCTTCCAAAGATTGCCGCACTTGGCTGTGCAGAGACAACAAGTGCCAATGAACCTGGATTTTAACACGAATAGTAGCCTGTTTGGGCAAGCTGCAAAAATTAGCTTATTTTGAGAAGTGCTTTTTCTCAAAAGTATTTTTTCGGAAGTACTTTTGGTGAGAAGCAGTTTGTGTTTGGCTAATTAATTTGAAAAACACTTCCTTTTTCTCAAAAGTGTTTTTTTTTAGAAGTACTTTTGGTGAGAAACAATTTGTGTTTGGCTAATTAATTTGAAAAACACTTCTGAGGAGCAATTAGTTTTTGGCCAAGCTTTTAAAAACTGCTTCTAAATGTATATTTCTCAAAAGTCTTTTCAAAAAAGTGTTTTTGAAAAGAAGCTACTTTTTTCTGCTTCTCCTCAAAAGCACTTTTTTTCTTAGGGCTGAACACTTCAACTTAAAAAAAAAAAAAGCATTGTTTTTAAAAAAAAAGTGTTTCTAGAATTGAAGAAGCTACTAATTGAGTCGCTGAAATATTTTCTTTAATGAAAATATTTTCAAACGTGAAAGAATGGCTGGTCATTTATGAGTAAGTCGTTCTCGTTTATAATACTCAAAACTAGGAGTGGCAAACAGGCGGGTCGAGTCGGATATGGTTCGGGTCGAAAACAGATAATGAAAAAACGGATCAATTATCCGACCCGACCCATATTTAATACGGATAAAAAAGGGGTTAACCGGTGGATACTTCTTGTATATGATCACTTTTGGGAGAAGTCTTAGTTTCCCTAACTTGAGGAAGCCCCAATTTGAGGCTTTACAAATGTAAAAGTTAGACTCATTGGTTATCCATTGGTTACTCATTGGTTATCCATTTTCTAAATGGATAATATGGTTCTTATCCATATTTGACCCGTTTTTAAAAAGTTCATTATCCAACCCATTTTTTAGTGAATAATATGGGTGGTTAACTGTTTTCTTTGAACCATTTTGCCACCCCTACTCAAAACCATCACCTAGACATAATGGTTAAACCCTTAATAAGGGACGGATCCACCCTTTAGAGTGGGGTGGTATGGCACTAGGTTGGTACAATTATTATATATTAGATTTTGATCACATGTAGCTCATGTCAATTAGTACAACGTTTTTTAAGATCACAAAGTTATTATTAAAAAGGTATAAAATAAAATATAAAGGTGTTATGAAATATTATTTATTAGTGGATGTCTATAACTCCTAAAGAAGATACTCTCACTACTCTTCTCCATTATGTAGATAACTCCCACTACTTCTTACCATTATAGTTGTAACTCCCACACCTCCATAACCTCCCCATGTTCTTTCCCCATGATCTCAATAGTTAATACCATGTCTATGATATCCCTTTGTATACCTCAATGTCATCCTATAAATAGAGGGTTTGGACATCACATTGTATACACTTGAATACATAGAAGAAATAAATACTCTTCTCTCTTTCTCTCTACATTGTTGTCTATCTTTTTGTTTTATATTATTACTTTGAGCTAAGTTTTGTAACACGTTATCAGCAGAAGCTTTAATCAACCTAGAAGATATGAATGGTCGACAACCTTGAACCAATGGAAATATGGGCATTATTACGTATGCCATATTAATGTTTAGTTTGCCTCTATTGTCCAGGGATTTTTATTTTTCAAATTATACCATAAATTATGTATTTAGCTTATGTTAAAATTTAAGATTTGTAGTTGCTTTGTTTAGAAAAAACTAAGCTTTGATTTTAAGTTTTCATGCTCGTTTGGCTGTATATGTCCCACTAACTTTGTTCCTAGTTCTAAAATTGATCTTATACAATTATAACATCATGCTATCATTGATTTTTCATGATATTAAAAGATCTCTGTGAAACATTAAAAAGCATTCTGGTCATGTTATGTGTTAACGAGGGCTTTTAAGATCGATGGCCTAATCTAATTAGATGCAATATTTTTATGCTGATAATTGACAAAGTGATATCATTATGTTTTACTAGCATATTTTGACATCATCTGTATTAAAACAGAATATGCTAGCAATAGTTATTACTTAAGATTATTTGTTTTTTTAAGTTAAGTATATTTAGTTATGTGTTTCAATTCGTGTGTGCATTTTATTTAATCATCATGCATTAGTTTGCAGTAATACATCACATAGTAATAACACTACATGGTGACTCTCTTATTGAGATGTTTATATATAGGATACTAGTACACGAGTTTGTACTCTATCATATTTTTATTGATAATAGTTCTTATCATTTATGTGGCTACATAAAATTATATTCCATTCCTGATGTGAATCAGACCATTTATGATATATTATATAAGGATAAGACAGTGGGTTCAAGTCCCAACGCACCATGAGGGTAAGACATCGGGTTTTGAGTCCTGATGATCCATGATTGTAAAAGATGGGTTCGAGTCCCAACTCATTATGGCCTAACATGTCTTTATATGGGTCAGGCATTGGGTTTGAGTTCCAATGCACCATATGGATGACATAGTGATGACTAAAGAAAAATAATATATTTTTCATGGAAAAGCATGAATCTTGTCCCACTTGATTTGCACCATTCTTGAAGTGAATGTCGTAGCAATGCATAATAAGTAAATGAAGACAAGTGGTTGACCAATGAACATGGGCGTGCCATTGATCAAATAATAATAGTCATCATTATGGTAATTGTAAAAAATGAGAACAATAAGGGTTCTCGAAGTAATCCTTCAAGAGGTGAAGGAAATATTTACCATCAAATTGGTATGAAAAATTTATAAAGCACGTCGCGATAATTATACTCCATTCTTTGAAGAGAAAGTGACTTGTGCATTGAGAATGCAGATTCATTCCTGAAGGTGAATGTAACAATATGTGATAAAAGTAATGAATAAAGACGTGCAATGCATGATTGGATACACACCACAACTCACCTCTAAGGGAGGTTTGAGAGAAAGAGAGATAATGAATATTACTGTGTGATTACATGAATATGTCATTGGTCGCGTACATGTGATACGCCAAAAATAATTTGACATGCCTTATAAAAAGTTATTAAAGGCAAAAGTAAAGCAAGAAATGATTTTGCTTATGATGATTTTGACCATGACAATTATTATGATATGATTTTCTCCGTGAATGAGACATTCACCATATGGATGACGTGACAAAAGATCTTGTAGTACAAAATCAATTAAGAGCTCCGGAAGAGCTAATTTGTTACTATCCGGATGAATAAAATTGTTCGTGACATTGATATTGTAGTAAGTCTCAAAAGAAACTTTTTGAGTTTCAAATGTATTAGCCAAAGTGGTTGGCATATTGAGACTATAAATGAAAGGAAGATTGATTATCTTCATATTACTATTTCATACCAGGTAAATATGAAAGGTTACCCGACTTTTCTTCTATTTGTACTACAGATGTATAAGCATGATGATAGAATCACATGCCATAAGTAAACTAGAGGTTTATTGAAACGAATATTAGTTGGCATGGCCGGTTGACCATCCCGGTTCAATTCTGATGTGAAAATTGATAGAGAATTCACATTGGCATATATTAAAGAAATAGAAGATTCTTTAAGAATTCTCTTGTGATGTTTTTTTTTCCTCATAATATACCAGTTAAGGTTGGGATTGAATCCTTTGATATCTGAAACGAATAAAAGGTGATATATATGTATGGGCCCAATCACCTGCCATGTGGACCGTTTACTATTATATAATTTTAATAGATGCATCTATTGTATGGTCACATGTGCGTTTGTTATCAACTTGCACTTTGGTTTTTGCAAGGTTGCTTGCTCAAATTATTAGAGCACAGTTCCAGAATATATATTATGATAATTTATCTTGATAATGTTGGTTTAAATCCAAGTTGGTTTAGCAAAAATTGTATGCCTCCAATTATAGCTAAACCATTGGTTATGAGAACAAAATTCGTAAATAGAAATTTGGTATGAGGTATATTATTTAATATACAACAGCACTTGTACGCATCTAGCCAATAAGTTATGATAAATTCTCCCCATCACAATTGGTTCATGGTCAGGAACCAAATATTCTCATCTAGAAATATGGATGTGGTATATGATTTAATTGTGCTGCCACAATGCACGAAGATGGGTTCTCAAAGAAGGTTGGAAAATGTGTTGGTGATCCCAACATTAGGGGGAGAAAATGGGCAGCTAAAAAAGTGATACGTGAAATGAATTATTATGAATAAATCTAGGTCCTCGTACAAGAAAATGTGAACTTGAAGTTCAAGTGATAATTTATTTCTAAAATATTTCCAGGCACATTGCTGACCCAAAGCTAAATGTCATATTCCAGCTGCTAATCCTCCAAATAGAATAACGTCCACGATGGATATAGTTTATGGCACGCATGAAGCATAATAGACAAATCGGTTCCAAAGATAAAACTCCTTGAAGAAGGAGGGATCAAATGTTCAAGATGGTCATAATAAGGAGGCAAGTGCTTTATAAGAGCATCATGACATAACATTTTATAAGACCTCATGGGAGAAGCTCAGGTACCTGGAAATAATGAGATCTCGATAAGTTATGTCTTTATTGCGCGATGATGGAACCGATGTAAAATGATCGTCGGCGATGTTGTTAATATAATGTAGCGCTCAATATTATTAATATTGATGTCACGACCCATTTTCACAATAGGTCATGAGGGCGCCTGACACCCTTGTCAGGCAAGCCAATTGCGGAAATATTTCTAAAATACTTATGTTGCTTTTAATTAAAATAAGTGAAATAAACACTCGAATTGGAATTTAAACCAGGAGAACTGAATACCGTAATAATATGATTACACAACCCCAAAATGATCGTCTACCAAAGTG